CTGAGGCAGGAGGATCCACAGCCAGCCTGGGCTACAAAGTAACTCAAGGTAAGCCTGAACTAAAGAGTGAGACCTCCTCTTAGAAAAAGAAATAATAAATAAAATAAAGTAAACTTATAATCTGGATGACACATAAAGCTTGCTGCTGCTGTTTGCTGCCTTCTGCCTGCCATGCCATGCAGGGTTTCTCTTCTGTAATGCCCCTTTGCCACGCCGTGCTGCTTTGAGCCAGCCAACCATGGACTGAAAGCTCTACAAACCTTGAGCTGAAAGAAAACTTTCCTCCTTTAATTTTTGGGTGTTGGGTACTTTATCTTAGCAATGAGAGGAATAACTCAGACAACATTAATACTTATTTTAAAATGAAAAAGCAAGTTTTATATCTTGGTCTTTGAAATAAGTAACCAAATTATACTAAACAGACTGAGCTGTTATATTTTATGTTTAGAATAGTAAAAAAAAAAAAATACAAAACTAAAGCCAGGTGTAGTGGCACATGCCTGCAATCCCAGCACTCAGGAGGCTGAGGCAGGAGGATTAGCTGTGAGTTTGAGACCAGTCTGGGCTACAAAGTGAGGGGCCAGCCTGAATTACAGAGTGAAACATTGTCTCAGAAGAAAGAAAGAAAGAAAGAAAGAAAGAAAGAAAGAAAGAAAGAAAGAAAGAAAGAAAGAAAGAAAGAAAGAAAGGAAGGAAGGAAGGGAGAGACATTCTAAGCAATATGTATTTTTTTTAATTGTATTAAACCTTAACATGGAATTTTAATTTTTTAATTGACAAAAGATTACCAGTAATATCTAGTAGAAGAATAAAAGAACAACAATTTTTAGTCTAGTTTAAATTCTAAAATAATGCATAAATTATGGAAAAGGCTGCCATGTATTTCAGTATGGTCATTATCACCGCACATTTTATGGAATTTCTTGTGAAATGAAAATGTGGAAACACCTTAAAAGGACAAAGCCACTTTGGGAAATATTAAGTGCAAAATATTTCTGATGTGGGTTTGGAAAAGAGGAATCTGTAAGTGTAAATTTCTTCTGTTGGCCCAAGGCAAGAAAATGCTTTCATTTATGATTTTTAAAAATGTTGCTGGTAGTATGTGTTACCTAGAGCATACCAGAAAATGAAATGAATAAAAATTGACTCCATGAGTCCAGTCTCAGCCCGGAAAAGGCAGGACCAATGTGACAAAGTGTTGAGAAAGTACACCATCCACCCATCCATCTTTCGTTACAGCCTTTGGTTTCTTGACTCTTCATAGCTAACCACTTCCTTTGCTTCTTATAAAGAAAGACGGAAAGCACCAGTTATCTATTTGGCAAGCTATTCTTCACTACAATACCAGCTTCCTAAGAGCTCCCTTCATTTTCTCAGGAATTCATTTTATTTATGTAATCATTACTTGGTGATGCATGTCATTCTGAAATTTCTCACTTTTATGTATACCCGTCACTGAATCTCCTGAAAAGACCAAAGGGAAAAGTAAGAGAGAATAACTGAAAACTGTTTATTGATACAAGAAATCACTCACACGCATAAGCTCGGTCTTACTGAATGGATTAGGTCTTTTGTCAATTTTTTTTCAGTTGTTTCCATCCTGAGTAGGTCAATTATTGAGTGCACTCAGTAATTGAAACTCATGGAAAAAATAAATCTGCTGAACTCTGTAAACAGAGCCGACCATAGCTTGCTTTTACAGCAGGATCACCTAGGGGAAGAATGTGTGTTTATAGACACTCTGGGTGAATTCAAAGCAGTTGTTCCATGGACCCACTTTACCTGCACATGGATTTATAAATGTGTTACTTAACAGCCCAACATTTCCTTCAGGAAAAGCAAGACTTAGAGAATAAGAGAAAGAAAGCAGGCAGTGTAGCCTCATGGTGTAATTCCAATACCTTTAAACGCTAGAATTTCTAACAATACTAAGCATAAATACTACTTGCTTTCTAGAAAGAGCTCAAAAATTTGGTTTTGAAAACGAAATTTTCTTCAGAGATTAGTCATAATAGTGATGCAGGTGCCACAGGAGCCATTTAGATTTAATTAAAGTACGACAACAATGACATCGCCAAGATTTTTCATTTTCCCTCTTTACTTCATGAATCAAAATTGCTATGAAACAGGAAGATTGATAGAACTTTATTCATATTCACTCTGAGTCATGATTACTTTTCCAATGTGAATGTATTCCTGCTACATATAGTTGAATTGAACACATACGGTTCAATTCTGCATTACACAGGAAATAGGTGACTAATGAATACATAATCTGAGATTGGAATGAAGGCAAGAGAATATATGAAAACTTAGCAAGCAGGTGCAGGGGCCAAGAGTTCGATTCCCAGGCCTGCTGTGCCAGCCCCGCCCCCCTCGGGGGGTGTGTGTGCTGAGACAGCAATTGAGACGGGGCATGGTGGCACACCCCTATAATGCCAGCTCTTGGCAGGATGTAAACAGACTAATCACTATGAGTCTGATCTAGTAGTGAGACCCTGAACACCCTGTAGACCCATCCCTAAAATAAAAAAAAAAGAAAATTTAACAGACACCAACATCTGATAACTATTTATGCATAGAGAAGTATTTGTACAGAAAAAGCCATACTCAATGAATAGTCTTCTGTTGCTTTTCCCACAATTCTGTGAACCTGGTCCACGAGACAGGAAGGGCAGAGAGATATTAAAAATTAAGAGACAAGAGAATATGAAGACAAACTAAAAGATTTACAAGTGATTATCAAAGAGCTATCACATTAGCACTTCCCACCCTTTATACATATAACATATGAAGAGTTTGATGTTTGTGGAGAAATTTGGGAAGATCGGTGAACTAACAAAACATTGGGTGAATTGCCAATGTGAAATTGGATATTTCAAGAACATTGATTTTCCACATCATCCTATTGTTTCCTCATTAGTGCTTCAAGCTCAAGAAGCACTTTCTCTCCTTTCCTTTCCTTTTCTATTCCCAGAACTAAACACACACACACACACACACACACACACACACACACACACACACACACTTCAAGCTGGTCCTATATCCCTGTATTCTTAAGTTACATTGAGAACTACAGAGGCAATGAGCCATTTTCTGACTCTCCTTTTTGTACCAACTTAAGCCAACATTTTTCTGCAGCTTGATTCTAGGGTCACTGGGAATTTGCTTTTCTGCCAGATATTGCTATGCTCTATAGACATATCCTATTTTTTTAAAAAAAGACAAAGAAAATAAAACCATGATTATTATCAAAGTCTTTATCCAGGCAAGGGAGAAAAATTAATCGTGCTTCTGTGCCAGGAACAGCTTCTGCCAGCCTTGGAAGTGGGATTGTGAGTATGGACCTTGTCCATGAGAAGAGAAATTTATAAAGTATAGTTCAGCTTCAAACATTATTCTACTGAGCGTAGAAGTAAACAAGTCACATTAGACAAAGATAAAGCCCTCTGGAATGTATGCCAGGGCTATGATGACCGAGACCTTTGATTCTGATATGCAGTTAAGTGAAACCAGGACTGTTTGTGGTAATTTTCTGGCTGTTGAATGGAACCCTGGGATCCCTGATGAGGATACCCAGATGATACAGAACACTTCTTGATTGAAGTTTTGCAGAACTCAATGTATCTTGAAACTCATGGATCCACGGAATTTATAGTCACCTCCGATAGATTTACTGCATAAGGTTTTGGCAATGGTGCATGAAGAAAAATTGAAAACAAAGCCAACTGTTGGAGGAGGATTTTAAGACATGCAAAGCTTGAATCTTGCAGCCCAATATTTTTTCTGATGCAAGTATCTGAGAAGCTTCCTACCCTCCAAAGGCCTTGGTTTAAATCAAGGAAATTAATTCACTTTGGGAAGAAACTGTGTCAGTTAGAAACGTAACAGAATATTTAAGCAGCAGAAGAAAGTTATTTCCAAAAATGAAAAAGAAGTGGAACATAGTCAAAGGAACTTGAAAATAGTGGTTGAATTAGTATAAAGCAGACAGTTAGAAATGTGGAAGCAGATTGATCTCATAGCTCTTGAAGCTTCCAGAAAAGTAGAAGAGGCAGTGAGGAAGGTGTCTAAGGACAAAGGAAGGAGTATAAGTACCATTTTTGTCACTCACTTATTCAGCTTTACTAAGAAGGTCTCCAGTGTGGTCCCTACTTTTGGTCCACAAGCAAATATGTTTGTACCATCCACAAACTGGCAGAGTGAAATGTTCAAGGAAATTCAATAGAGAAAATATCAGTTGATTCATTTGTACCAGAATTATGAAAAGACATCCACAACCTGTCCTCATGAAAGTGTCACATATTGCTCAAGTTATTGTATGGTCTTACATTTATGAAGCATACAGGCTGACTTTAAGGTACAGAAGAGAAGAAAAAGTGCACAAGAAAATTAAAAGAAGAATAACTCTTCAGAAGGGCCTAGAGTGGCCCAGTAATTATTAGGATGATCATGACTATTAGCCAATTAGGGATGATTGCTACTCATTTTTTTTAATACCATGTCTCACGAAGCAGTTCAGACTCAGTGATCCTCCTGTTGAAGCCTCCCAAGTGCTGGGATTATAGGCATGTGCCACCATGGCCAGTTCTGGAGCTGACATGACATGCCCAGGTTTCCAAGGCCGGCATGGTGTGCGGTACCAAGGATCAAACTCAGGACCTTGAGCTTGCCAGCCAGGTGCTTATGCCACCAAGAATCTCCCCAGCCCTACAATTGCTTTTGAACTCAACACCTAATTAAATTTTGTCCCTAAAATAATCTTTTTTCTTTTTTTTTTAAGTTCATATATTTACCAAATTCATAAGATTGGGAGAACTTCTGGAGATATCAGAATATTTTGTTTAAAAAATGGATAATTGGAACTGCTTCCAGGATCCTGAGATGCAGAGAAACCGGGGTTGATGTGGCTCCTCAAGAGTTACTGATGAATGAAATGGCAGAAAATGGAAAAAGTTGTGACCGGAGATGTGTAGCAATGAGCAAGGAACAACACAATGGAAATTTCCCATTATGTTCAGCATATATAAAAACAATTTCTTCTGTATGCCTACTGGATAGGCTTGGGGATGTAGTCTTCTGTGGGGTTTGGAACAGGGCTGCACACCTTTCTGTTTTATCTGGGCCCACACAGAGCTTCACTTACATTAGCTGCTTATGAATGTAACTCAGTGAATTTCCTTGAGCCACTCTATCCTGACCAGATTATTTGTCCAGATGAACAGGGCACTCCAGGAAGCATTTCCTTGTGGAACATCATCTCGAAAGTTAGGATTGAGGCCTGCATGTGGGGTATCAGTACAGCTATCATAGAGCTGCCTCCATACTTCATGGCCAGAGCAGCTTGCCTCTCAGGCCCTGAACCAGATGATGAAGAGTATCACAAATTTGAAGAAATGCCAAGACATGCAGAGTCTGCACAGGACTTTCCCTCATGAGCAAAACTCGCAATTCAAAGACTCGTACAGAAGGTTGGATTTTTTTTGAATATTGGTCTGTGCTTCTATTCCAAATCCGCTATTTGATCTTGCTAGAATAATGTTCAGACATTTTCTTGTACCTTTTTGGACCTTCTCTGGTGCAACCCCGATTGGAAAAGCAATAATTAAAATGTATATCCAGAAAATCTTTGTTATTATAACATTCAGCAAGCACATTGTGGAGCAGATGGTAGCTTTCATGGGTGCTGTCCCCTGCATAGGTCCGTCTCTACAGAAGCCCTTCCAGGAATACCTTGAGGCCCAGTGGTTGAAGCTACACCACAGGAGCAAAGGTGGTGCACCCTAGAGAGAAAACTGGCTGTCCTGGCTGTTTGAGAAGTTGGTGATGGTGATAGTATATTACTTTATCCTGTCTATCATTAACTCCATGGCACAGAGTAATGCCAAATGAATTCAGCAGTGGTGGAACTCAGAGGAGAAAACTAAATAAACAAAAAACATTTTTAACTGCAGCAGTTATAGTGGATGGGTTCTGCCTTAATTTGGAAGGACTCCAAATGAGGAAGGAAAATTCCCTCTTCCAGCTTGTATCAATTTTAAAGACTGATAACCAACCAACCCCAGGCCCTGCAAGTGTGGAGGAGAGCTTCTGCTCTGTCCTGCGCCTGCCCACCGCTCCAAGCCCAGACCTGCCACTTGAAAGAGGCCTTTCCCTGCATTCTCCAGACCTCCCCCGCCTGGCCAAACCCAGCACAGCCCACCATCTGGGTAAGAACTTCTGCCATGCTCTTGGGAGTCCTGCAGAACCACCAAAACACAACACTGGTGAGTGTGTGGGAGAGCTTCTACGTTCTCTCACTCCTGCTCCTCATATCCCTACAGACCCAGCCCAGACCTAGCATACAGGCTTGAGATAAAACCCTGCAGCTAAAGTCCCTGCAGTGAGACTAGGGTCAAAACCACACAGCTAATCCAGGAAAAGAACATCTTCCCAGAGGTGTACAGCAGGCCCACTTCCAAGGGCAACAACAGTAAGGAGTTGAGCACAGTAAGCAAACCCAAGCCAGGCACAACTGCATGAACTAGAACATGGTATATTAGTACCTGAATTCCATTAAGTATTAAGGACATAATTGCATCAAAGCTCTACACCAAAGGTCAGAGGTCAGTGTTAAATGAAATGAAAACGACAAGGAGCAAAATGCAATCTCAGGCCTCAAACCCACCCATAACAAGTGCAGAAGACACTAACTCAGCTGAAATAAATGAATCAATAGCATCAGAAGTAAATAAACAGCAGCAGAATGATATAGAGGAACTCAGAGCAGAATTAATTTCTGGAATAAAGAAAAGAAAACTCTGAATTTATAGCAGCTGAACTTAAAAATCAAATGCAGAAACATATAGAGGAAACACAATGCCCAACCAAACAAATGCAGTGGACACTAGCTTAGCTGAAATATATGAGTTAGTGGCATTGGAAGTAAATAAGCAACTGCAGAAAGGTTTAAAGGAACTCAAAGCAGAATTACTGTCTGAAATGAATAAAAGAAAACTCTAAATTTATAGCACCTAAACTAAAGAATCAAATACAGAAACATAAAGAGGAAACCCAATCTGTAAAAATCTCTGTAGTAAAAGAATTAATAACTGCGTCTAAAGAAGACATTGTTAAAAAAAATACAGGAGATTTAAAAAAATGATGGATTCCTTGAATGAGCAATACAGGAAAGAATTAGGTCGCATGAAGCAGAGTCAAAGAGATGTAGAGGAACATAAATCTCAATCACAAGTCTGAAAAAACATTTGAACAAAAGTGAAGATAGAGTTTCAGATCTTGAAGATGCCGGTGCAGCTAGTGAAAAGATAAGGAAAGATCTTCTAAAAACAACTAGGATGCAGGAAAAAAATAATCCATCACTTGCAAGACGATGCAAAGATGAACAATGTGAGACTAATAGGCATCAATGAGAAAGAAGGACTCAATACAGATGATATAAAAAGAATATGGGCAGAAGTAATAGGAGAAAACTTCCCAAATATGAGGAAACAATCTGATACTCAGGTAACCAAAGCATACAGAATTCCAAATAACTTCAACCCAATTAAAAACACACCAAGACATATAATAGTCAAGATCCCAGAAATCCAACACAAGAATATCATACTGAAAGCTGTTAAAGAAAAGAAGCAGATCACATTCAAAGGAAAACCCATCAGAATTACGCCAACTTCTCTTCACAAACCACGAAGACAAGAAGAGCATGGAGCAGAATACTTCAAGTCCTCTATGAAAAAAAATTCCAGCCCGAACTACTATACCCTGCAAAACTCTCTTTCAAGCTTGATGGAGAAGTGAAATACTTCCATGACAAAGGACAACTAAAGAATTTCATGATGGCAAAAACAACCCTACACAGACTACTGAAAGATGTTCTAGAGAGGGATCAAAATGATCAGAACTCCAACAATGAGAACAGAAGAAACCCACTAAATAGGACAAACAAACACAGGAGAAAAAAACAGTTAAAAAACAACATTCAAATAACATGTCTATCATAAGTCAACACAACTCAATTATAACTATCAATGTAAATGGACTCAATTCACCAATTAAGAGAAATAGATTGGCTCAGTGGATTAGGAAACAAAACCCAACAATATGTTGCATATAAGAAAAAAATTTAACTCATTAAGAAACTCACAGGCTGAAAGTCAAAGGATGGAAAACAATACAACATACCCCACTACTTCAGAAAAAAGCAGGGGTAGCAATCTTGATCTCAGACAGTATCAACTTCAAACAAAGAATGATCAAACAAAATAAAGCAGGCCACTATATACTAGTTAGAGGAAAAATTCAAGAGGAAGAAATAACAACCATAAATATGTATGCACCAAACATGGGAGCACCCAACTGTATAAGACAAACCTTAATAGACATGAAAAATCTAATATACAATACAACAATCTTAACAGGAGACCTTAACACCCCCTTATCCCAAAAAGATAGATCAACCAGACAAAAAATTAGCAAAGAAGTAGCACAACTGAATCAGAGCTTGGAACAAATGGACTTGGTAGACATACACAGAGTATTCCACCCAACCACAGCTGAATACACATTTTTCTCAGCTGCACACGGATCATTATCTAAAATAGATCACATACTAGTATGTAGGTCATGCTTAATTGTATGCAAGAAAGCAGAAATTACCTCATGCATATTATCTGACCACAATGCAATGAAACTGGAAATAAATAACAAAAGAAACCAGAAAAACCCACTAAATACATGGAAATTAAACAACACCCTACTGAGCAATCAATGTGTTACACATGAAATTAAACAAGAAATTCAACAATATCTGCAATTCAATGAAAATTCATCCACAACTTATCGCAATTTATGGGATGTGATGAAAGCAGTTCTCAGAGGGAAATTCATAGCTGTGGACTCACACATTAGGAAAACATAACAGGAACAAATAAACACCCAAATGCTGCACCTTCAACAACTAGAAAAGGAAGAGCAAACCAAACCCAGAGCCCAAAGACAGGAAGAAATAAAGATTAGAACAGAAATTAATTCAATTGAGATGAAGAAAACAGTTCAAAGAAATAACGAATAAAAAAGCTGGTTCTTTGAAAGATTAAATAAAATTGATAAGCCCCTAGCCAACCTCATGAAAAAGAAGAAAAAATTCAAATACAAACAATAAAGAATGAAAAGGGTGTAACTACTACAGACCCGGTGGAAATTCAGAAGATTATCAATACTTACTTTGAGAATCTTTACACTCACAGAATAGAAGACACAGACCAAATGGACAGATTCCTAAAGAGGTACGAATTACCAAAACTGAATCCAGAAGATATAACAACTCTCAATAACCCAATAACAGCCATTGAAATACGGAATGTAATAAAGAGCCTGCCGACAAAGAAAAGTCCAGGTCATGCTGGATTTACAGCTGAATTTTACAAGAAATTCATAAAAGATATAATCCCTACACTCCTCAAACTCTTCAGTGAAATTGAAAAGGAAAGAGTTCTCCCAAAATCATTCCTGGAGGCAAGTATTTTACTGATACCAAAACCAGGGAAGGACGCAACTAAGAAAGAGAACTACAGGCCTATCTCCCTCATGAACATAGATGCAAAAATCCTCAATAAAATCCTAGCAAATAGAATGCAGCAAATCATCAAGAAGATCATACACCATGACCAGGTAGGATTCATCCCAGGGATTCAAGGATGGTTCAATATTCTAAAATCTATAAATATAATACACTATATCATTAGAGCGAAAATTAAAAACCACATCATCATTTCAATCGATGCAGAAAAGGTTTTTGACAAAGTCCAATACTCATAAATGTTCAAAGTCCTACAGAAAATTGGAATAGATGGCCTCTACTTCAATCTGGCAAAAGACATCTATGACAACCCAACAGCTAATATAATTTTCTCTCTTTTTTTTTTTCTTTTGCAGTACCAGGGATTGAACTCAGGACCTTGTGCTTGCCAGGCAAACCCTTATTCAATTGTGCTATCTCCCTGGTCCCAATTCTCAATGGGAAAAAAACTGATATCTTTTACTCTCAAATCAGGTACAAGACAATGATGTCCTCTATCACCCCTCCTCCTCAATATAGTTCTAGAATGATTAGCTACAGCCATTAGACAAGAGGGAGAAATAAAAGGAGCAAGAATAGGTAAAGAGGAAGTGAAACTATCATTATTTGCAGATAACATGATACTTTATTTGGAAGACTCAAAAAACTCCACTAAGAAACTACTAGAATTGATAGACAAATTCAGTACCATAGCAGGATATAAAGTCAATACCCAAAAGTCAGTAGCATTCTTCTACACAGATAACAAACACACTGAGAAGGAAATTAGGGAAACAATACCTTTTGCAATAGCCCCAAGAAAAATGAAATACCTTGGAATTCATCTAACTAAAGAAATCAAAGATCTTTTCATGGAAAAATTACAATATTTTGAAAAAAGAGATTGTAGAGGACTTCAGAAAATGCAAAGATATCCCCTGCTCCTGGATAGGAAGAACCAACATCGTGAAGATGGCCATACTCCCACAATTGTTGTATAGATTTAATGCAATCCCTATGAGACTACCTCCAACATGGTTCCCAGACCTAGAGAAACTGTTCCTAAAATTTATCTGGGACCAAAAAAGACCTAGAATAGCAAAGTCAATCCTGGCCAACAAAGACAAAGCATGGAGGCATTACAATTCCTGACTTGAAATTATACTACAAAGCTACTGTAATAAAATCAGCATGGTATTGGCAACAAAATAGACCTGAGGATCAATGGAATAGACTAGTAGATGCAGAGGCCTCTAGGAATGCACTTAGCCACCTGATCTTTTTTTTTTCCAAAGTTTTATTGATAAACAGCAATGAGACAGTTTCAAATCAAATCGGAAGTACAGTTTCAACAAATAATACACTGCATATA